CCCCACCACAGGAAACCCAGAGAGAAGCAGCTAAATACAAGTCTCAAGTCTTCAAGTCCAGTCTAAAGTCCATGTAAACTAGTTTGGTCCCATGCACGCACCCTCAAATATCCTTGAGAGGATATAAAGCTGGTCCTGTGTTCCAGAATATCAGATCTCAGCAAAAACTTAGTGTGGAAAAAAAAAAACAGTGCAATTTTCTATGCCTCCAGTTTTCTCAGGTCAAGGACGAAATGCTAAACAATACCTGAATCAAAGCAAAAGAAAAAGGACAAAACAGCTTGACACCGATATTGTTGTTTTAGTGTTGTTTTACAAAATGGTAACTTGGAGGTAGTAACTAGACAGTTTGAAGTAAATTCCAACCTCAATACTAATAAATATCCAGATTTTCACTTTGTTTTTGGCATTCGCTCTATTTCTATAGAACATATACCAACCAGTTCTCATATAAATATATGTCTTACAGATATTTCTATGACTATTCTGGCTCCCAGTTCTTCTGCCCAAGACTTCTTTTAAACCCATCAATTTGACTTCTTTCTGCTATCAGGGTTGTACAAGAAGACTGGGAAGATGGTTTTTCTTGGACTAGACAATGCTGGAAAAACAACGCTCCTGCAGATGCTCAGGGATGACAGGCTGGGACAGCACATGCCGACGCTATACCCAAGTAGATTTTTACTTGTCACATCAGGAATTAGCCATGTGTGTCTTGCTTCACTGCTTATCCTAAAATCAAACCCCTCTTCCCCAGCATCCGAGGAGCTGACAATAGCTGGAATGACTTTTACGACATTTGACCTTGGAGGTCATACGCAAGGTGGGAGTAAAAAAAAAAGAAGTGATTCTCAATCTTATTTTTGAGCTTTTTAAAATATTATTGATGTATTTGTTGAGGTGTTGCATAAAAATACTGAAAATGTGTGTCTTTACAGCACGAAGGATCTGGAAGAACTACTTCCCAGCCATAAACGGTATCGTGTACATGGTGGATTGTGCTGACCATATGCGACTAGCAGAAGCAAAAGTTGAACTGGATGTGAGTTAATTGTACTGATGTCAACACAGAAAGCTGCCCATAGCTGCCACTGATAGGAATGATCTGTATGATATGTCTGATATGATACTTCTTTTGTGTAGGCCATGTTAACAGATGAAACCATTGCAAACATCCCCGTTCTAATCCTGGGCAATAAGATAGACCGTCCAGAGGCCATCAGTGAGGATGCACTCAGGGCAGTACTTGGTCTTCAGGGGCATACAACTGGAAAGGTTTGTACAAGAAATGTGGGATTAAATGATGATGTGATGTCTGGCAGGAGCATTAGAGTCATATGGTGTTCATATTTTCCAAACCATAAACTGTATTTAAAAGGTTAACGTAGCCTCTGGAAAAGTGAAACCTGTTACTTAAAATCTGCATTCTTTTTAATGGCCAGCAGGAGGCGACACCTCTGGTGGGAAAAAAGCAGTCAGATTGTATAGACATATATGAGAAAGTGCTCCTCACTTGATCTTTGACCTCACTAAATACTTTCCTGGTGTCTTTACAGACTGAGTTCTCATTTCATAACTTACTGAATAGAACATGACGTTTTTTTGTAAAGTATGGTCCCTTTTGGAATAAAATACAAGATAAAGCTGGCTACGCTCTAGTAGCAGCCTAGTGTTTCGCAGTCAAATCTAACTTTTGCTTGTTACATCTAGTTTAAAAAAAAAAAATCAAGATGTGGCAGCCAGAATGTCAAACGGAAGGCTTCAAAACAGCACTTAAAAGAAAATAAAAGGCGATGTCACAATGCCCGTATCAATTTCTTACTGTTTGTACACGTTACTGTGTTGGAAAGACTAAAACAATCATAGCAACAGTACTTAGAGACAGTCTTCTTACTAGGCTTTTAAGACTTCAATAAATAGTACCGAGCTATTTGACATGGTGTGTTATCCTGCTGGAAGCTGCCGTCAGAAGCTGGGTATACTGTGGTCACAGAGGCTACCCACTTACTTTTGAGGAGCCAGATCGCAGATGGTTGGACTCGGCAGTCAGCCAGCCAACAATATAAAATCTGGTGATGACCTGCTCGGTCTCAGTGTATGCATTGAGTGGCGATCACATTATAAATATATAGATATTTGGATTACTGAGCAGTTCAGGGATACCTAACAAAGTGGCTGGTTAGTCTATGTGCATTCTGTTTAGTTGTCTGTGCAACAAGCCCAAATCGACCTAAAGAAGAAAAGGCTGCCCCACAATGATATTTTACTGCACTTAAATTTTTTGTATAAATCTGAGACATCATTTCTGGTTCAAGACCTAAGTGTCGGTTTATTGATCCATGCTGACGAGTCAGGGAAAACCTTTTCTAATAGAGCTTAAAGCACGGTTAAAGTTTAAGATGTGCGGTGTATTTGTTCAGTGTTCATGGGCTAGGTTGCTGGATGGAGTTGTAGATTTAAAGTTGTTCTTTTTGATGTGTATTTTTGTTTCTTTTCAGGGCAAAGTGCCGCTGAAGGAGCTGAATTTGAGGCCAATGGAGGTGTTCATGTGCAGTGTGCTGAAGCGACAGGGATATGGAGACGGTTTTCGCTGGCTTGCCCAGTATATCGATTGATTGACATTCTTTTAATAGCCTTAACCAGATTTGTTCCACACAAAACTACCTGCAGTAGAGAGAGATTTTATTAAATATGCTAGTACAAAATGTGTTTTGTATTTAAAAGCCCAGCATTATTCATCTGTTTGAAGAATCCTGTATTTTATCTCAGTCGTACCGCTGCAAGTCAAAGATAGGTTATGAATCATTGGCCTGTATTATTCAGACTGAGTGTGGAGAAAAGCTCCATGCTGTGGTTCTTCTACCTTTACCTAAAGCCTGTAGGGAATTGTTTCTGCCGTGTAGGACATGCCATGGCTGTGAACTTGTTTCAGACCCGGGTGTATTTTTGGCTGCTGGTGTTGGCTTACAGCGAAGGTCAGTGTAGTTAACACTGTGTGCTTAGAGCAGCTCTTCTTTGATTGAGGATGAAACATTTTTGTTGGCACGTATGCACATTATTTATTCTGTTTTATTTTTTTTTTCTTTCAATTGATCGTTTTCAAAAACAACTTTTTTTCCCCTAGAAAATGCTGCAAAAATGTGTTGCTGTAATTGTTAAAGTCAATTTGCAAGCCTACCTCGAAGGATGCTGACAGTTCTTGTGATAGTATGTTTATTTTAAGGTTTACATTTAGGTTTACAAACACGGCCACTAACATTAATGTTACCACAAGTGCACTGACTGACTTTTTGCCTCTACTAGATATCTACGCCAGCCAAACACACCGACAGGTGACTGCACTGAAAAGACTTGAGTACTTTGTGATTGGTTGCTGCTAACAGTACGCAGTGATTTATGAGAGTACTTGGGTGGTGCTTAGCAAAAAAAAAAAGCTTATACAGTATCTTTGGATAAAATTATCTTAAAACATTATAAAATATTTTATAAGAGTGTATTTATATTTTGCAATAAAAACTGGCCTGTCTGTTAATTCGCATTCTTAATGCTTGATATATCTCATACAAAAAAGATGTCATATTCTTGTTGGGTGTGTTGTGCAATATTTTAGCAAAATAAATATGTTTGGTAACTCTTTAAACCTTGTTTAAGAGATTTTAATTCATTTTTGGTTCATCCACCAAAGGAACATCCATCCATCTATTTATCCATTCACATTCACAACACTTATTAGTCCTCCTTAAACAGGAATGTCATACTTATTGAGCTTTAGTGGGGTGGACCGGTGAAAGGCTCCTTTCTGTCAGTGTAAAGAACTACACACTTAATACTGTATAATTATGGAAGGTTCCTGTGGTGGAACTTCAAGGTTTCTGTTATTTAATTGTTTTTCTATTACTTTGGTAATAAAGAGGTCGTTATTAGTGGGGACAGCTGTAAAACCTATAAAAATACAGTTAAAAATCTAAAATCCGAACCTTATGATATTGTGGAAGAATTTCTTAAATTTATGTATTATTCACATTATTTTATTGTATAATGCCTTTCTGCAACTAGATTTTAGCATGTCTCAGTGTCTCTCACACTCATACTCTGATGATCTTCTGCCCTGTGATGATGGCTGCTCTCACCAAGCTTCGTTCTGTTTGTTTTTATTAAATCCAGTTCTAGAGCATTAAGGGCTAACACAGACAGACGACCCATCACATTCACATCGGTCAGCTTAGAATCACCAATGATCCTAAATGAAAACTTTTGGGCTACAAAAGTACCTGAGGAGAAAAATGCCTCACCTTTGATTTGAACCCAGGGCCACAAACCACTGTACTACTTTTCCACAGAAATTAGCAAGCATTCGGTAGAATAAAAACACAATATGGTATTCCATATGTGATAAAATGCTTTAAAATAAAATATTTGATCTGCTAAGTAATGGTGTTAAAAAAGTGGTTGCTGGTATTTAAACTTGTAAAAACAATCCAACATGTCTCTTATGAGCGATATCAAGTCATTTTCCGCAGGATAAAGTATTCACTCCTGTCACAACGTAGAAGCTGCAGTCAGTTTGTAGAAGAGTCACTTTTATATCCTTTATTTATCCAGGTAAAGCCCCCCCCCCCACCCCAAAAAACACACACAAAACAAACAAAAACAAAACAAATCAGGTCAGCCCGATTAAAAATGTCTTTGTCTTTTCCAAGTGTGATAGAATAGAAAGGATATTTTAAGTGACCCAAAATGGACTGGATTGATTACACAGTAGAACACAGAGTCATAAACAGGCAAAAAAGCTTTTTTATTTATTTTATATAAAACTCCATAGTAAAAGCAGTTGACTTCACCCTATATGCTGATATCAGCAAAGATATTATACATAAAAACACACATAAAACATCGTAAAACGTAAATAAACTTCTAATCGGGATATAGGAACTCCCTCTAGTTTCCTTGTTTACCATTGGCTAGAAGGTGTTTGCTTTCAGACCAATCAGGTGCAGGAACGAAGCAGAACCAGGAAGTTACGAACAGGGCGAAGAAGTTAGACGACACTGTGGGAAATATTTGCGATAAATAGTTTAAACTTAAGGTCACAGTGACTTATCTGAAGGTTTCTTCTCACTCCTGGAATGTACACATTTTTTAATGAGCTGCTTTTTCGAGTGTTTTAAACGCCGTTAAAACATTTGTTGATTTGCTTTGCTAGAGCATGGAGTTAAAGGACGTGGAGAGGCGCTGCTGTGTTGTCAAGGTATCAGAGGCGTCTTCTGCAAAGAAACCGGTGAGCTGCAGCGGAGTTGTTGTCCACCCTCGCACAGGAATCATCATATGTACCGGACTCCCGTTTTCACGTTTTATCATCGACGGAGACCCCCTCTACTGGGACCACGACTTCTTGCCACCTCACAGCTTCAGTGCCAAACTTCAAATCCGCGTCAGCTTTCCAACTGACACCAAGCAGAGCGCACAGAGAGCAACAATCACACCCACCAGAAGCAAAACAGCAGCAGGGCAGAGGGAGGCTGCAGCCGAGCTGCTGATGCTGGTCAACTGCGTGGAGTTTAAACAGGCTTTCCAGGCAGTGTTCCAGGAGGCCGACCAGTGGCGTTTCCATTGTGATGAGGATGAGGAGCTGCTCAGAGATTTCCACTTCCTCAGCTGGTTTGCTGTACTCAGGGCAGGTGTGGTGCTAGACAGCAGCCAGGATTCAGGCACCATCCCCTGGCAGAGCAGTGCGCCTCTCCAGAAAGGCTGCCCTGTTGTTGCCTGCGGCTCACCTTTTGGCTCCCTCTGCTTGGATCTCTTCATCAGCACCCTCAGCAGAGGCATCATCAGTAACCTCGCTGGAGAAGATAACGCTGTCATCCTCACAGACGCCCGCTGCCTGCCAGGCACAGAAGGTGGAGGGTTGTTTGTGATGAAAGGTGCAGGCAGCGTGCATCTCATCGGGCTGATTGTGTCTCCATTTGGCTGGAAGGCTAATGAGTGGATTGGCCTCACTCTGGTCTGCTCTGCCCAGTTGGTCTTCAGGAATCTCATCAGCTGCCTGAGTGTCCAGGATCCCCTCAGAAATGTTTGGCTTCATCCAGGAGAGTCGGACATCCAGATGTCCACCGCTGCTCACGAGTCAAAATCTGTTAAATACCCCACTGTTTGCTTTGTGGACAGCGGGCAGTTCTGGGGTTCAGGGGTAGTTGTTGGCTCTCGACTGGTTGTGACGTGCAGGCATGTTGTCAACAGGAAGTCTAAAGTCCGCTTGAAGTTCCACCATAGGGACAGGTGATGGCACATTTACTATCTTAAACCCCCTCCTAATTGAAGCAGAAATTAATTCAAACCTTATTAAACACTAAAATGTGTTAATCCACTAATCTTAGTCTTCTTTTCAAACCTAACACAGTTTTGGGTAGAAAAAAAACAAGCATAAACAAGTACTAGGAGCTTGCCTGCAGATTGACCTGGTTTGGATGAGAGAAAATCAAAAATATATTCAAATTTGTGCATCAAATTCTTGATTTTTAACGCCATTAAAGATGTATTCGGTACTATTATTCCAGCCTGGAAAAAAATGAGTGCAATTTATAGGCAGTAATAAACTTCTGAATGTATGGACAGTCCTATAAGCTGACATGGACTTGCTGCATCAAAGACAAAGCTTTCTGTATGGATCTACACCATATGGGACTATGGTCTTTTCCTGTTTATTTAGCAACTTCACCACATTTTGGAAGTATGTTTTGTGATCACAGAATGTGTAAGACTAATAATCCTCACTTTTTTGGCGATTTTCTTTTCTCAGAGTCCATGATTCAGTGGGTGATGTCCTTTTTTCCACTAAGGCATCTTCACCCTATGACCTCGCTTTGGTGCAGCTCAGAGACGCTGTCCCAGAAGCTGTGGTCTCACGGATGTGTCAGAGTTTCATTCCAGGTTTGATTTCAGTCTTGTGCAGCAGAAACAGTAGAATTATTGTTATTTTCTTATAAGCAGTTCCAGAAGAGATTTCCTGCTTCTTTACGCTTAAAAACCGTAATGGCCTTTTCTAACTTCAGGTGAATCTGTAGTTGTCGTCGGATACGGTGGGCTGGGTCGGAGCTGCGGTCCGTCCCTGACCTGCGGCGTCCTGTCCAAAGCCATTAGCTGGAATTGCCAGCCTGTCATGCTCCAGACCACATGTGCAGTACAAGCGGGGACCAGCGGGGGTGCTGTGGTGCAGAGATGCTCAGGAGAGCTGCTGGGTAAGGAGGTCCTGCAGGAAGAAAGCCATGTGCACCTTTTGAACAGAGGGGGGCACATGATAACCACAGAAAACGTCTCTGTGCAGGGAAAAGTCAGCTGTGCATATATCAGTGGTTCAGTCAGCACTGCTGTATTTGCGGCTTTGAATTCACAAAAAAATGTTTCTTTGTTGTGTTGCAGGGATCGTTTCCAGCAACACGCGAGACATGGCCACTAAAGTGACTTACCCACATCTGAACTTCAGCGTCCCAGTGACTGTTTTCCAGAGATTGTTGCAGCACTTTGAGCAGACAAAGGATGTTAATGTATTCAGGGAGCTGGACAGTACAGAAAAAGAAATCAGGAGGGTGTGGAGACTACAAGGTGCTCAGAGCAAACTGTAACCGAGGACCCCTGCACTACACTGACACGTGGTAGAGATGACAAATCAGAATGAATTAGATGAGACATTTGCAACTGAAAGAATAATTACTGCTTAATTGTCATCTCAGAGTCATGTGGTTAACCAGAAAATCTTTATAAGGGTACTAATGTTTACAGGCACTTTAAGTACATTTATACCTGTTTAATTGCACAATAATTACATTAAATTAATCTTTTTTTAGCTAATGTTTAGTGTTTTCTTGGTGTGCTGCTGGATTCCCAAGGTTTTAAAAATACATTTATCCATTTATAAAATAACAAAAAAAAGATCACATAAACTGCTGGGATAAAAAAAGTGAATCATCCAACTTTTGATCCTTATTTATGTTACAGTTATAGCATCAAAGACACATTTCTCAGAGCACGTGTTAGGATTTACACCTGCGTCTGGTGCATACAGTTTGTTTTTTTACCAGGCGGGGAGGAATATTCAGCATAATAGGCTGACAGGCTGCTGAAAATGATTGGTCCCTTTGGGTAGCCAGAGGACTGCTGTCGGTTTCAGGTATTCAGACATCTGTTGGCAGACGTACCCACTCACAGTGAACACATTTGAGGTTTCACCCACTGGGAAGCTACTGGTTCTGATTTCCATTATCACAGAAACGTGAAACTGAGAAATGACATTTCAGAGGATTGGTTGCCGTCAGTTTTTACAATGCTAAGACAAGCTTTCTGGGCCTGAACTCCTGAGGATGTGCATACGCTCTAACATGCTGAAAGGTTTCTATTTCACTGTTCCCAGGCTGAATAGTTCACAGTGGAGTTTTCAGCAGTGTCCCGAGGAGGCTGAGGAGAGAGTTTTCTAAAGGCATTGTGCTGTTCGAAGTGCTGATATGCAGACTTGTGTCTGTATCTCATTTCTGCTGGTTTCCCATAGCTACAAGCCACACTTCACTGCAGAATGAGGTGCAGTAGGGGTAGATACGAGCGGAGAAGAACATTGAATCCTTAAGGAGCATTTCGCACAGAGACGCATGTGTTGTTTTTTTTTTAAAATAGCATCTTATTATAGGTGCAGTGTTCGTCCATGCTGCACTGCTCATTAAAATAAGGCAAATATATAGATTTTAATTTGCTATCTGTAATCACAAATATGGCTAGCCTGTCTGTGCACCAGTAACCAACTTTGCTAGAGGGGAATTTTTATTTTAGAAGATGTAGTAATATTCTGAGCAGTTTACACGCTACTGGAAAAACTCAAAGGAGCACTTTTAATTAAGAGTATAGCATCAAGTCAGTTAAACTTCTGGGATCTTGATCTGGTCAGTTAAGTAGCAGAGGGTTGTTAATCAGTTTCAGCTGCTTGGGTGGTAATGAAATTAACAACAGGTGCAGAAGAGAAGCAACGTTGAGACGACCTTTCTCACTAGTTTTGCATTTAGCCAGGGTCAGAGCCTCTAATAGCATGAG